CGGATTCCTTAATGCTAAAGTTTCTGCAATAAGATTGAGAGGTTGGCTGTGTCAAACGCTTTCTTTAAATGTACGGTAATATACCACAGGAAAAAAGCTTCTTGTCAAAATTTAGCTGAATTCTATCAACAATATCAACAAGAGCAAGTTGAGTAGAACATTTTTCCCGGAAGCCATACTGGCAATGGTACGATGAATTGTGTTTATCTAGCAACGATTTTAAGCGATTGTACATTAGTTTCTCACAGACGCAATTAAATAATGACAGGAGTGAAATTGGATATGCCTGTAGTTATCTGGGTCTAATTCATCCTCACTCTTGAAAACTGGTACAACTTTAGCAAGCTTTAACTTTGAAGGGTAAATGCAACTCTCAATAGACACTGACGGAATAGTCTTCGAATTTATTTAGGAAAATTTTACCGATAAGTGAAGCGGAATCATTATTAACTCTCTTATAGGTTTATCAATAGTTGGTAAGAGGGCGTAGCTTTGTAAACAATTTACAAATTGTTGGGCATACATGAGCAGTAGTATACTATGTTGGAAATTAAGCCTCTTTGGTGTCGACTAAGTGTCGAGTTAGGTCGAGGTAAATCATTGATATGCATAAGGGTCGAGTCTAGAGAAAAAAGTAGGTTCCTCCATACTAATTAAGTGCCAGTCAGTGTCTTCCTGCACACTAATTTGGTATAGGTTTACAAATGAGCGAATACTACAATAGGCACAATAAGGTTGCCTAGGCTTGCCCGTTAAGTAACTTGAGCCCGGTTTTCGGACCGTCTATTAAAAGGAACACTGGAATAAGAGAAGCGATCACCTAGCAACGCGAGAAACGGCTTCCTTTATCTTATTTAGTGCTAAAACTCAGATATGTAAACAAAACACATACACAAAGTGGAGTTGAAAAGGCTTTATTTCAATTTAGTTTATGTCTTCTTATTTAGTGCTAAAACTCGGATATATAAACAAAACACACGCACATAGACACAAAGTGGAGCTTAAAACTCTCTATGTCAATTTTGTCTGACTACTACAGAACCGTTTTCTCCTTTCTATCTCGAGGAAATGAAAAACTATTAAAGTCTCAGCGTTTCACGCGGCGTTAGTATGTGTAATCAAATGGTGACGAGTGCGTTTTGCGTTTTGTCCAAATCCTAATAGTTTCACTCGCTTAAAGGCTCGGGAAATTATAAGGATTTGGACAAAAACGCGCGTGAAATTATTCCCTAATTTCACGAGTATACCATTTGATTACCTATTAATATCATGGGTGACGAATTACGTTAGCAATCGAGGATTTTTGACTTGTTTATCCTGGATCGTATCGTTTGATCATGAACTCCACTCTCAAACGTTTAGAGTTAAAATTTGGCTTCAGACAACATACCTCTAAGAATCCTTCTTGATGTGATCTTTCGTGTGTTCACGTTTTCTAAAGCGTCTTATTATGCCCTGACATCTTCATTCATGACATTTAAAAACTTCGTCGCCATCTTGAAACGGAGACGTACGGCAGGTTGCCATGGCAATTTAGTAATTTCACATGTGAAATTACAAATTAACGCTGAAATTTCGCGCCAAAATTAAGGTTTAATTCGTCACCTTTGATATTAGTCAGATAATTATGCAAGTTCACAAGCCCATCGTTGTATACAAATTAGCTCTGCAGTAAAAATCCCAAGGGAGCATCTTGATGTGTTATTATAAAAACACACACACAAAAAAAACAATTAATAACTTAACAAGGTTCACCGACAAGCCCAAGTTCGTCGCGTTCTTGGTATTTTTTTTTTTTACGACTGCTTCATATATCGCTCAAATTTCGTCTTTCGAAATTGTCTTGAAACGAGAGGCCATCTTGGCTCCGGTCGCAAAACAGTGAACAGCCAAGGACATTCCGAGTTACGGCAGCCGATTAAAACGCGCGAAAATTGCTACTCACTGATTTGGTAAATGACAATTATTCACCGAAGTGGAGGTGGCTAGTGATGAATATTTACCGAGGCCGCGAAGCGGCGCGCTAAATAACTATCACTAGCCAACGAAACTGAGGTGAATAATTGTTTTAGTATATACTAAAACAGTGACATCATTGAGCACAAAAATGAAAATTTTTAACTCGTTTACTGTTGCCAACGATTACAATTTTGACGCGCAATGACCGAACGGACGCGGTCGTCGCTTTTTCTTGCCGACAAATAAAACTTTTGAAGGCATTTGCTTAGCTTTTGCGTGGAAGTTTCTTCAAAAGGAGTTGTGAATTCTTTTTGTATTTAAAATCATTCTCTAAAAAAGATTATTGAATTTAGTTTTAAGCTTATTTATGAACAAGTCAACCAAATAAAGTAACACAAGACTTAAGCTTAATTTGCATTTCTAAACAAAAAAAAGTTTCTCACCGGTTTTATCGTAAATTCAGGTCAAAAAGACAAAGCTTTACCTGTTAAAACTTCCAAACCGAACTTCGTCACCTTCTTCATGTATTTCGGGAACAGCTAGCTTAATTAGTTAGTTGTGAAATTCTTTCTTTGTTACGGCAGCAAAACGGGAAGGCATTTTGCTCGCGAGTTTGGCGTCGCTCGCTCGGAGAAACTGGAGGTGAATCAGTGAATACTGCAGGATACTCACTGATTGAGTAGCCAATCAGAGCGCGCGAAAAACACTATCAACTGTTTTAGTATATACTAAATACATATATTTAGCAATTATTCTTTGAAAGGGAGGTGAATATAGTGGCCAAATATTTACCGAGGCGCGAAGGTAAACGTTCCTAAAGCCACTATTCACCGAGATTGAAAAGAACAATTGTTTTAATATATACACACCAAGTGATCTCAACAAAATCAGAGAGGAAACTATTAACAAGTACGGTTTGATCGACGGATCAAATCACGCGCAAGTTTAAAAATAGATCTTTGCAGAGTTTCAAACATGGCAATTCACAAGTTTATCACTTTGCAAACAATAGCGTAATGGCTTAAATGGAACCGTTAAAAGTTCAGTTTCCTTACCTGAGAAGAAAAGTAGAGCTTTGTTGTTTTCTGTTGACTCGCCAAGTTTATAGCCAAAAGGGTTTGTTGTGTCGTTCTTCGCATGAAGTGCTGACAAAAATGGTGGCTCGGTTGCTGGAGAGACGTCTTCCTGTACCATTCTTTTTCCTATTTACTTGAAACGTAGAATTTTTGCAACTATTTGCTTTCAAATTTGTTTGTCATAAGTAAACTTCGATTTTTGGGCCAAATTTGCTTGTTAGGAAACGGCTCCTTCTATGCAAATAAACGGGAGCTGTAAACAATTCATCGAGGCCAGAACTCAGCTACAGTTAATAGAAAAACGCCGTTTCGAATCCCTCCAATGCAAGTCTTTTTCTTGCCTTGAAAAAAGTCAACCCTAGGATTTTGTTGACTTTTGAAAGATCGTTCGCTAAAACACTGCGGAAAACACCGAGTTCACACATTATCTACTCCCCAGGAGGTTAATATTTTTTAATAGTCCGAGCTAGCGAACCTATCAGATCGCTTAAATCACCAAGATCACTGAGTTTGTATATACATCCGTCTGGATTTGCAAAAAGGTAGCTCCAGGATTTTTTAGCAACAGTCTTATTCGAGGCTTGTTCAGTAGTTGGCCATCTTTTTTTGTTATGTTTTCAGTACAAAAAACCCCTAACATTAGCTGCAGTATAGACCAAATAAATAAAGAAACATGTGTTTTAATCCTGTTTACATCTTTCCCTACCCCCCACCCCCGTCCCCTACATCATTTCTCATAGTTCTTTCCATGTCATAAAACACTATAATACATTTGAAATCAGCAGGCGCGGTAGAAGTTGTTTTCCGTGGCCGGTTAACTTTTTCTGGCCGCCTGAGCAAACTTTTCCGGAAGGCATCATCAAGCCTCACGGTTGGCAAAGTCTGTCGTCGTCCAATATGTTACCGTATTTCGTCTCATTTTGGTTAAACGGATGAAACACTGATCTCAGGCTTGAGACGTAAAGGCATCATATTGCGAGCTTTGATGTGGGCGTTTACGAGTCTCTGGCCTCAAAAAGTAGTTATCAGCAGTCAAATCTATTCGGCGAGAGTTTAATTGATGCTGATTTCTGACCAGGCCAAAGACTTAGCTAAAAATTGTTTTGAAGGCCGGCCTCTATGTGTCCCTTTCAAAACGGCTTGTCTACATCCGGGATCTTGAATAAATCGACTGAGTAAGGAAAGTTTAAATGTGATCATTTCATGCTTGTCAGGTAAAATAATCTAATGTTTAGGCCCTGTTAACTGCTTATAGTCTTCCGCTTTTAGTCTTTACTCTTGAATATAAACTGCTGAAAAAGAGAAAAAAACATGTCAGAACGATGCCTAGGAACATTTTTCTTCTTTGTTTTACTTATCGATTTTAAAGGTCAAAAACTACTTATATTTGGCCTTCTAAAGAAGACAGTTTAGACCAATAATGGAAACAGATACAAACAAGGTTGGAGTTGTCAGGTGGTAAGAACTAACAGGGCTGAAACCAGAAATTTGAAACTGTGGGTCTAACTTGCTGCTATTAAGTTGCTGCTTAAGACTGTCACTATATTCGCCCCTCCTGTGATGATATATACGTACGTACAGCTCGTAAACCCCTAGATCAAATAAGTTGAAAGGCAAAAAATCATGGCAAGAACAGCTAGAATACATCTGCTATTTGGAAAATATTGGCAGAACTAAGCAGCCTCTATATCCTGAATTCATCGAAAATTTATGCGATATTATGATAAAACCAGTTTCAAAGGATTAAATTCCAGAAGTTTCTCTGGTCAGACAGATAATGTAATGGGGCGAGGGTTTAAACCCTCTATCCACTCCTTCCCTCTAGATCTACATACATCTGCAATTACCAGGTTGTTTTTTTCTTTCCTTATACATTTCTCCTCCCACGTTCAAAGGGGTGAACAGCGCCCTGTGAACGACGACGACACTGCTTACCTTCTACAATGTTTTAGTTTTACGATTCATCTACGTATGAGTACTTGCTCCTCTCTTTTCCAACTCTTGCTCAAGTGACGTCACAAGATCCTGAAATGTTGGTCGTTTTGAAGGTTCTAAGTTCCAGCACGAGGTCATTATCTGATATCTACAAAAAAATCAAAGTTTCATTAAGTTTGACCAAAAGGCAGTTCTAAGACACATCCAAACACAATGGATATATAAATAAATGATATCATGATAAAATATAATAAACAGCCAGTTATTGTCAGAGTTTTCAGTTGCGTATCACTTTCCTTCTCCTTTCTACTAATCGCTTTTAAACGCCAGTCACTGCCTTTTGGCCATTAAAATAATAAGACGAATTACTTTAGCTTTATTGTTGAAAAATGTCAAAGCTTCATGAAATGAACGTGAATTTAAAAATTCCCGTTAATCTAAGTCGCGTTAGGATGAAAGAAGTGAAGTCACGAGATCAACCCATGTTAGATGTTCGTTCATGTTGACCCCGCAGTATCTAAGCTGTGGTGACACGTTCTATTAGCTTCCCATTGCAGCTAATAACTGGATAATAATCCTGTAACGCGTGAGCTCGAGACATCTAATGAGTGGAAACAAGCATCCACTTTGTTTTAGCTTCATTCAATGCGAGGTTTGACTCAGATGAGGAATCCACCAGACGAGATATGGCGTCCTTGGTCTTTGAGTGAACAAAGAAATCGAAAGAAAGTTGTATCGTCTGCGTACTGGTAGCGAGGACACTTAATGTGCTTTTGAAGATCAGGCATATATAGGTTGAACATAAAAGGTCCAAGTATTGAGCCCTGTGGGACACAAAACAGTACAGTCTCGATCGACGAGGTCTTGTTATCCATTTCAACGAACTGGCAGCGATCAGAGAGGTAATCGACTCATATCAACCTCATTGCGACATTTGCCCTATGGCACGTCAGGTGGCCTCAACATCCGGTAAAATAGAGCTGAAAACACTCTACTTTCTGCAGAATATTGCCTTTCCTTCTCAAAGTAGTAGATCTATCAGAAATGCACCACCGGTATTGAACTAAGTGCTATCTAAGCTACTAGTGGTGAAAAACTAGAGTTATTTTGTTAAGATTTCGATGGGGCATTTTTGTATTTTTTTCCGTCGGTTTTGGATGTAAATTTACAAAAGCGTGACCGGTCTTGAAAGCAGCGGGTCGAGAAAAACTGGACTGGCTCGACAGAGCATGCGCGGAATAATAAATGCACCGCCAAATTCAAAGAGTTAAATTTATTTGCAGCGTTTAGACATGTAATTTGTTGGGATTCGTGCAGATTTCGGTGGGGCAAAATGACTTCGGAGGTTCATCTTGGTCTCTTTCTTCTCTTCGCTTGTACCATGGCGGTTTCTACAGTTGAAGATAATTTTCAAGGCGAAAATAGTGAGAAATTCAGCCAGCAAAACGGTCCTTCGTATACTTACGAGATTAACAAGTAAGTAATTTGAAGTGATGATGAATATTTTAAAAAGAGCTTAATTATATTTTCAAACAGTTCGATTCTAAATTTTCGGATATTTAATAATTCCTCGTTTCTTCTATTTATTCCAGCAGCTTTTTAATTTATACCATTTCAAAGGCCGAAGAAGGGACCAGAGAATCTGCTCTTGTACACATAATTGAGAAGATATTGAAGGAATCAGGCAACGTACAATGGCCCGTGAATGTTGCCTCTATCCTCCAGCAAACCTTCCTCGGGGAAAAACATTTTTTCCAAGCGAACGAAGGGAAAGTAATTCCTTTTAATATCGTAATCACGCCACTCATCGTATTCGTGACTGAATCCCACGAAATTAATTTTAGCTGTTTTCGCTTCGTATCCACTTCAACAACCTCAACAACATACAAATCCCTGTCTGTTTTGCGTTTTCGTTCCACTTTCTCCATCTTTTTTTCGCAGAGCTGACAGAATTCTTACGCAAAACGCCGTAGAAGACATGACATTCGCTTCGGTCGATCGCCCATGTTTATTTGTGATGGTGAAACGTAATACCTTTGCGCACGCCCGTTAGCATACACTCCATGTAATGATCACTGAAGAGCAAATGTCCTCATTTGTGGGCAATGAGTTTGATATGGTAGTCCAAGCATTGCATTCAAGACATGTAAAAAACCTAAAGCGTACACCTTGGTTAATACTGTCTGTGTCAAAGGCTTTAGAATATTCTGCTTAAAAAAACCATCAAGCTGACTTCACCCCTCTTCATAGCTGGCAGGAGATAATCGCGAATACCTAGCAGCGCAGTTTTTGTAGTCAAGAATGGCCCTTGCAAAAACCAGATATACTTAGTGCCAATAAATAAAACTCAACAATGTAGAAAATTAATTGTTTTAGCACTAACCGTTCAAACGCTTTTTGTAAGAGCCGGCAGGAAACTGGGCGGTAAACTTTCTCGTTCTGTCGGTGGTCCGTCTTTGGGATAGGTGAAGGCCGAGCAGTTTTCCATGCTCCAGGAAACGTCGAAGAGGTGATACAGGTATCGATAATGTGAGGGAGAGGACCGGCAATATGCTCCCTTAATAACTGACTTAACAAATTTAACAGGTATTTGATCGACACCGGTTGAGCAGTCTGCGCGGAGGTAGTGTATGTCCTAGAAATTTACGTGACATAACTTAAATGATCGTTGTGGGTGCTGTGGTTATGGTGGTAGCCAGTGTCCTTTCGTTAGTGGCGATGGAGTACATATTGAGCTGATCTGGATCGGCTATTAGGGGACTGGTACTAAGGTTAACAGACGATGGACGACCCTCCATACCTCTTTAGGGCGTTTTGAGGAGAAGACCGTTATAAAAAAAGGGCCTCTTTGCTTTACCAATAACTACCTTAAACCTTAATCTTGTTACGGATAGTCCTAAAAGCAGTCCATCATTCATCACTATTCGTATTCTGCGCCTCCAGTACAATCTGAGTTTATCTCTCTCAGCTTGCAGCTATCTGATATCAGCTGCATGTAACCACGGCTCATGGGGACGGTTGTTTTAACTCGCTTCAGAGGCGCATGTCAGTCTAAGCACTCAGCAATGAGAGTGTTCAATTAGTCGCCCACTTTATCCGGTAACTCCACAGGGTAAATGATTCACATATACACGGATACACATCTGATATTCTTGACACTAAAAATATGGTATTAGGGTGGAGATCTACCATCCAGCTAAACTGTGAGGAACTAACCCTTGAAGCGGCCAGATTTTTTTCGCTTGACCCCCTTCGTACGTTTAGGGAAAGCACCACGAAAAAAAAGTTTTGATTTCAGATTATTCGTTTAACTTTGTTTTTGTTGTCTCAAGTTTTATTTTTTTAAAACGTTTTATTAAATTCCTTTATTTTAAAATGTTACCCTCACTTCTGCGTTTATTCACTTCATTTGAAAGTCGTTTTCCACCAAGTTCGTGTTAATTTATTTTGCGTTAATTTAAAATACCTTAATTTTATGGAGCGTTAATATAATTTCCTGTAATAAGGTATCGATAAATAGATTACTAGAGATTGGTGGAAATATCTCGACCCAACTTACATCTCATCTGAGCAACCATCCGGTTGTTGTAACCTCTTTCCGGACTTCAAAAAGTCCACAATCTCTATGCCTCCCAAACCGGAATATGGCTTTCTTCCTAAAACAGAAAAAAATAAAAAGACAAAAAACAAGTGAAAAAAAAATGGACATAGTTCTGACAATTGTTAATTGGGAAGGCCATAAAAGAACATTATCATTATTATTATTATTAATGTTATTATGCAGTATAAAACGTAAGAATGCAAACTGTTAATCATGTAGGGTGCACAGCGTGTGGCCTACAAGGAACTAAACTACCCTGAAAAACGGACTGTGTTATGGAATGTTGCAAGGGCAAAATCAAAAAAAAAAAAAAAAACCTACAATAATACAGAAAGATAACCGTACTTGGCTGTCTTCTCCTCATCCTTCTTTCCACGATTATCCACCCACGGGCAACTTATTTCAGCTGCCCAGGCTTTATTTATTAATAAGTATTATTATCATTATTATTGTTGTTGTTGTTGTTGTTATAAAATGGTAGTATGGGTACTGAAAGCCAACTTTTTCTAAAAAAATCTAGGGAGCAAACTCCCGCTTAAAACTGGAGAAGATTATGCATCCACAATGACTTGGTTAAGAACACGCTTTAGTGTTGAAATTTTGAGATCTGCAAACATGTGCTTGAGAGGGTCAAGAACCCGGCGCTTTTAGTTATAACAAAGACACATTAGATGAGCAATTTTATAGCGGATATGAAGTGATGTCAGTTTCTTATTTTATTTTACTTTTTTCGCTTTTTCAAATTTTTCTTTGCCTTAACGGTTTCTATCACGCTTCACCTTATCTTGGTGAGTGGCAGTGTTGATAATATTATAGTCAGCGTCGTTAATTTAATTTGCGCCTATGATGAGACAGACTTATTTCAACTGTACATCTTTTACACATAGAAATAAATCCTTTTAAAACATTTTTTTAATGGAAATGTGTTATCCGAATAGACAAATTTACTTTAAATGTTTTAGTTACTTAAGGACAGTTTTGTTGTGGTAGTATATATTAGAAGTGTGATTTACTTAATTAATAATTATTTAAAGAATTCGTTTTTATCTTCTTCTTCTTCTATTTTTTTTCTCCTTTTTTTTTACTATCGTAAGACAGTTTAATTACGTTCACTGGCATACTAGTCATAATTGCAATAGACCTCTTTCACAACTGGTGGCCAATTTATTTATTCGTTTATATGTATCAGGAGCCTTTCTGGTCTCGTTTGAAGGTAACAATTATTTTGAATTTTGCACATGCTAACGAGGCCAGAAATTATTACAATTTATAATTATTATATGAAATAATGTTGAAAATCACTATAGTCCCAGCATTTTACAGTTCTCGGATTAGTACCCTAGCCTTTGAGTGAATGTGAGACTTAGGTTGACTTTGTTTTGATACAAACCTTTGGTTTTTCGTTTTTTAAATTTATTATTATTTTTTTATGGAAAGTGAAACATAATCTACATACCGTAAATCCTCTATTAAGCCTCCCCCCCCCCCGGACTTATTTATTTCAAATCCATTTTAAGGTGGTTAATAGAGACGGGGGAATTATTTGATAGGGGGCTTATTTAATTTAGAAAATACGATGTTATCAGTTCTCCATAAAGATCTAGAATACAAAATGGAGAAGCTCAAGAACAAGAAGGTTGGAAGTCATTCAGCCGAGGATCAGAATCAAATCCGAACGTAAAGTCAATTGGTAAATTATCCATCCCAGATCAGTCTACACGAAGTTTTACAGTCATAATTTATTAATACGGTCTCTCATTTATTAGTGAAGAATAATTAGGGGAGCGGAGGGGGGCTTAATTGAGAAGAGGGGCTTATTAACGTTTTCCAGTGAAAAGGATGGGGGTGCTTATTAGAAGGAGGGGGCCTATTTGAGACTGGGGGGCTTAATAGAGTATTTACGGTAAGAAAACAAGGTCGAATTTAGCCTGTTTCCATTTATAACTTTAAAAGGGCCTATTCTACCATTAGCAGTAATTTTGCCTTTCACCTTTCGCCTTGTAAAAATTTCATCATGCATATCATAACTGTTATCGTGTAGCCTTAAATTTCAAATCTATAATGGACTAGAGGTTGATCTGGGCACCGATATGTGTAGGAAAACAAAGGACGTCGATCAATTGCGCGGAAGCACAGATCCGTAATCAGTTTTTCCTAATAAATGTTTGTTGAATTTAGTCTTATTTCTACCTCCAGACTCTATTTCCCACAGCACAACTCCAAATGACCATCTTAAGAGAGAGAAAGAGAATAAAAAAAAAAAAAAGTTTTCATGTCTATACTGCACCGAATCTATACAAAATAAGCAGAAACTCTAAGGAAACCACAGGCTCCAATAATAATCAACTACACGTTAAAAAATGTTTAGCTGGACAAAACCTCGTGATGAAATGTACTGCTGCGTCTCTGTGAGAAGGATGTCACTAATGCACCAGTCAATGTAAATCCCCGCCCCCCTCCGAAGGGCCTAAGAAGGGACTTAGATAAATAGGCTGAAAAAAGACTCAGAAAGTGAGTAAATGTTATCGTCCCGGGGCAATATTTCCCTGCTTATGTTTTCGCTTGTCTCCGCCAGTACAAGGCACAAAAAACACAACCTCTGTCTAAATTAACTCAATGCCTTTTGATTATTATTTTATTTCGCGTTTCTGCAAGTTCCTGTAGTATTTGAAAACTACGTGTAGAAAGCATAGCTTCGAGAGCGGTGATTTGACTCCATGACATTAGCACACCAAAACGCGGTTACATACGCGGAAATTAAAAAGCCTGCGTACCCGATGTACACTGTACATTACAAGACAATACAAAACATGAACTTTGCAGGAAAGATGCCAAAAGTTGTCATAGAGCAATGGGTATGCATGCAGTTTACATTTGTTGCATTTTCAAGTTCAAATAACCTCTGATCTCCCTAAACACTGAACAACACAAACGTATTAGTAAAGCAGCAGCACTACCATGTTAAGGTAAACCAGGCCTGCGTGCTTAGCAAGCTGCTCTAAGGTAGAGAGACCTGGACCCTCCACTCCGGCCACCTAGAAGGCAGACTCAACGCCCTCCACCCGCACTGCCTCAGAAGGATTTTAAGCATCAGCTGGCAAGACCGAGTCACAAACAAGGATGACCTAGCACAGGTGGGAGTACCTAGTATGTTGACCTCGTTCGTCAGAGACGGCTTAATTGGGACGGGACGGGACGGGAGAATTCCTAAGGGCATACTCAAAGGTGAGCTTGCAACTGGAACTAGACCTACAGGAAGGCCTACCTTTCGTTTCAAAGACCTTTGTCAACGATATCTGAAGGCAGGCAATATCAACCTTGCAGGTTGAAAAGCAGTGGCAGCAGATCGAAGTCACTGGAGGCTTGCTGTCAAGCCAGACAGTCAGGCGTGTTAGGAGAAAAGAGGGGAGCAGTGGCAACAGAGGAGAGAGCGCAGACGGCTGAGGGCAGCATCAATACCCACATAGCTAAGCACGGAACATTAACCTTCAACATAGCCTGCCGATCTGGAATCGGGCTGAACAGCCACAGCAGGCGCTACAACTTAACCACTGACTAAACCATGGCGCTGATTCCATTTTCCACCTAGACAGACGGATGCCAGGAAGTTTTAAATAATGACTGTGAGATTGAAAAGCAGGATAACTTACACGTCAGTCTGGGTAGTGTAGATGTAATCCTCTAGAGACTCGATGGCCATCCATCGAACAGGTAGCATTCCCTTTAAGTAAAAGATATAAGAAGCAGAAAGTAAAAGACGAATGAAGCTGAGGAGCTGGTAGACGATAGCAATCGATTTAAGTGCCATTAATAATAGTTATTTAATCCTACCCCAGATGTGTTTTCGTATTCGCCACTTTCATACACGTCACGCGACAGACCAAAATCAGAAACCATAGCAGCGTTATTCTTGCCGAGCAACACATTCC